GTAAAAGGCTTTCGTTAACACTAGGCCAAGAAGACTATCCGGCTTTATTTTACCTCTTATATAGACTCAGTTAAGCCAAAAGGAAATAAAAAATTAAAAACCTAGATGGATATAGAGTGATTTGGCTAATTATTTTTCATACTTGTCCTGCTACTTTTGCTCGAGTGTATGTGTGTGTTAGCGTCTATACGCAATACCTAAATCAGAGTTATCAAAAGGTTAAAGTTAGGCTCTGATCATCAAGGCCTAATGACCTCAAAGAAAGCCGTAACTGAGACTTCGTAAGTCCGTAAGCAAGTATGTATGAGATAATGAGATATGAGCTTGTAAGCATGTACGTCAAGTTACGAAACCACTTGTCCTAACCTCTCGGTCTAGGGAAATGCATGACTGGGGCTGCTTTATTTGGCACGTCTGATTTGGTTGATGAGTTTAATTTAACATGTTGGATGTGTGCGAGTGAAATTAGAACCATCACCGAGCAGACAAGTGTATTCGCCTTATTTTGGAGGGCGGCTTATCACCCTCTCTCTTTTTCAATATATCAATCAAGCATAAGTAGTTACTATTCAACTTTATACCACTGATCCTCACATTCAAGGTATTTCCTAACCAGTATTAAAGATAATTAGCCAAACCATACTATATATATTCAGGTTTTTCATTTTCTTTTGCTTAATTAACGTCTCGTGGACTGCGTCAACCTGAACTTATTATAAAAGCCAAACGGCTGCAGTACAACGGGATTCATCCGTCCTCTTCCGGTGAGATCGACTAACGAATCTCTTCTTCATGCACTTTTATACGAAATGAAAGTCCCCCAAACAACGTTATCTCATGAGATTCATTGAAAACCGGTTTCTCTTCGTATCTATAAGTATATTATTTAGTTAGTTAAGCACATTGTTAATTGAAATAATTAAGTATGCAGAATTTAAACAATGATCTTAACTATCACTACTCTCGGAGAAAGTTAGAGAAATTAGTTAGAGCTACGGTTCATTAGTGAAAAATTATTTAAATCATACATATATATATTATCCTTTATTTATTTATACACGTAGTTCTCACCCTCAGCTCTATTTCCCCAATTTATTTCATTTTTAGATCAATTCGCCCAACAAGAAAACTCAATTTTGGAACCTGAAACATTAATTTGCTTTACTACTGGCTCCAACTTGGCCAGCCAACCCTTTATTGACCCGTCGCGACTGTCTGTCAGATTTCGCACTGCCGACACTATAGCTCACCTATTTCAGCAGTGCCGACAGTGGTTCTCTGACCACAACGGAAATCTGTCGGTCCCTCTTTCAAGAATATGGCCTAGCACCTCTTTTTCAACTCGGTTTTTTAATGAATCTGAGCAGGAGTCCGAGAATGGAGAAACAGATGATATATCAGCAGCATTGGATCACATTCCGAATAAACGGTATTCTTCATTGGAACCCTCAGCCGAGCAGACAATACAACCAGGCTTCGTTTCCACGACTAAAGAATCGGTCACTAGACTGGTCAACACTCAGTCTACTCCGAGCTCTCTGCCAGTCAGACAGGACCGAGTCTATCTACGCCACTTAGTCGATCTGGTGGGGATTTTGCCTGTTCGAACCTATTCCGTTTACATGGCTTGGCCATTTAGCTTATTCACAAACATACGTAGTCGAGAGAAAGTAAAATAGGATAAATGGAATAGTGATGTTTAAATTTTGGACGTTTTAGACTATTTCTTTACACAGCCTATCCGGTCTTAAGCACTTATGATTAAGCCAATCGACTCAAGACTTGTGCTACTCCACAATTACTATCAAAGCTTGCGTGTGCGTAAGCACAGTCTTCAGTCGATTTCGTGAAAATGCAGATTGTTTAAGCCGACTTCGAAGATTTTTTAAACTAACCTTCCTTATTTGTCACATATTCACCATTATGTTCAGTTTTAAATGAAGCTCTCTGGTTAACATCCCCATTAAAATTTCTTCTGACGTGAAATTATTTAATATTAGATAAAAAGCTTATATAGTCATATTATTTTCACGAATGATTTACTTTTTGATGTGAA